TTCATATGACAGCTATGTGCTTCTTCTTAATCCAATAAGAATTACAAAGCACCAATGAATGATAACGTGGCATTTGTCAACAGATTAACAGTGATGCCACATAAGTTTTTGGGGGGAATTAAGTTGTCGCCAAGTAAAAAGTGTTTGGGAATAGAAAATTTAAAAAAAATTAGATTTTTGGAAATTTATATTAAATATTTAATAGGAAAACGCAGTAGTATAACTACTCAATATAGTTTTTTACTTATTTCGTAAAGAAATTAGGAAGAATTTGTAGAAAAAGAAAATTAAACTTCTTACATATATCCAATAGATAATAATTTGAGGCATTTAAAATTTGAATATTGCGTCCAATATTGTACGGTTCTTTTGTTCCAATAATGTTATGTTGTTATTGGGTAGTTTTAAGGAGATATCCAAAATTCAATATATGGCCTGTTCCCGAACTAAAAGAATCTACTCATTTTTAGTAGTTTTTCGATGTCATAATTGAAAACTTGCATATTCTTACAGTTACTGGAACACACCAATAAGATTGTATGTCCATCATTTAGGATTACAAATTTTAAGAAAATAAATTCATGCATAATGAAAACTAATATGAATGATTCCACATTTAAGTATCAGTCCTTAGGATATCTAATCCTTGAAAAATTTAAAAATATCTCGAAATAAAAAGTTCTCATTTTTATCATAACTTATTAATTTTTTTACTTATGAATATTTAAAATTGTTGCATTTTGCATCATTACATTTTTCGCTCTCTTGCCGTTTCCCTCTCTACATCTGTTACACTAAATGTTATGAAGAAAAGGCGGATCATATATAACACTCAATTACAAACATTTCCGGTATCAAACTTTTAGTTTTCAGAAAACATTCTTTTATTTTTTCTTTTTTGGATTTTTTGTTTTGAACTACACCCAGTTGCAGATTTCCATTTTCATTGATGTCGTATCATTCATAAACAAATAATTTCCACAAGAAGCAATTTACGCAAACACCGTCCGTACCGCCGTTCCTTGTAGTGCGTTCGTTACAAAGTCTCATAGGAAACTGAGTTCGTTTAATTTGTTGTACCAAACATTCACAAAAATGTGCATGTTTGTTGTCTTCCTTCCGTCATGTTTTGTTTTTGTTTACGTTATTAAATCAATTTTGACATTTGAATTAGACATGCGCTTTTGTGACAAAATTGTACAGATGTGTAGTTGGCGACATCTGCATTTTATGAATTGAACTAAAAAACACCTATATGTTGACTGTGTGTCAATGGCAAATTGAAAGTGTCAATTCCAATTGGAAATAATGTTCCCTTTATAAAAATGAAATGAATGTACCCTAATTTTAAATTGCACTTTAAGGCGGGATCACATGATTGCCGCAATGCGCCAATTATTGGTGCATTTTATATGCCAATCGTGTGATTGCACAATTTATTGTCCAATGCGACAATCAAAAATAAATTGTGCTGATTTGCGGCAATCAAATACAACTCTGGTACGACAATCGTGTGAACTGTTAATAGACAACCTTGCGCAAATTTAAAGTTGAAAAATGCGTCAATATTTATTGTTTTCTAGTGCGTCAATCAAAGAAGACAATACGCGTCAATAACCTGATTTTTTTTAAATAATATTTTTTCTTGTGTTTGTACCGTCAACATTTCTTTGTCGTAAGTAAAGTAAAGTTAATTTAAATTGTTGTATTTGCTATAATTATGTTCATATTATGTATTTGCAGCTTTAATATGGAATTCGGTGATTGCATTGTATACGAAAATTCAGCTGAGCTTGAGTTCTTTTCCCCCGATCAGCAACCAGAAACACCTGTGCCGAAAAAAAGAAAAAAACCAAGTGTAATTTGTTCCTGGACCTACACTGCAATACAGGAGCTGATACAAGCTGTGGAACAGCATCCATGTGTTTGGCAGTATTCATCCACCGAGTACAAAGATAGGAATAAACGGGAGCAGGCATGGCGGGAAATTGAAAAAATGTGTACAGGGCACACGGTGGAAGACTGCAAGGCCAAATGGTGCAACATTAAAACGGCCTTTCAAAATGTAAAAAAAAAACTAAAATCAAAATCTGGTCAGGGAGCCGAAAATACCATACCACATTGGCCGCATTGGTCTGCAATGCAATTTTACAACGACCACTCTGTGTCAAAAATGTCAAGTACAGTGTCAACATTAGATTTGGATGACTCTGGAAGTACTTCACAACATGCCGCTGCTGAGATTGTAAAGGTAGACAAAAGTGACATTTTGCAGCGTGCAGTTAAGTGTTTAGATGCGGAGGAAGATAATTGGCACGCGATTGGGATGTATTTGGCATCACAAATGCGAGAAATTGCCAAGAAAAACAAGAAGGCTGCGAACAAACTGCATTTCCAGCTTGTCAAAGTCGTAATGGATGCAGCTTTGGAAGCTGAAGAAGATGATTAAGCCTTGATAAATTTTTTGCGTTATATTTCATTTTTTAAATTGAATTTTTATAGTATGTATATGTAAGTTTTTGTTTTGTTATTTTGTTTGCAATATTGAAGTACCTTCCTAGTCCGTATTTTTTTAGATACTAAAAATGAATTAAATAAAACTAGTAAATTTTCTGATTTTAAATTAAAGTTTAAATTTTATTTGATATATAAAATTATTTATATATTTTTATATTGCCAGCTCAATTCTCCAATAGGAGACATGAAATACTTTTCCATTTCATCCCGAACAGCCTTTGCTTCACTTGTTATATAAGAACTTGGAACATTTTCTGTTCCACTCACAGCATCTAGTGGGAAGTCATTTCGCCATGTACCAGGAATTAAAGCACCGTCCTCATCGTAGCGATCAACAAGCAACGACGTTGTATAATTTAAATTTTTTTTTAACAAAAAATTGTGTAATGCACAGCAAGCTAGAGTTGTAGAGGTTGTTTTCTCTGCATTAAGCTTGGAAGGGCGTGAAAAAATTTGAAATCGCTTGACCATTATGCCAAATGCATTTTCTACAACACGTCGTGCTCTCGATAGCCTGTAGTTAAATATTCTCTGCCCTGCAGATAAACTTTTACCAGGATATGGCTTCAGCAAATGTTTCTGCATGCGGAAAGCATCATCCGCAACCAAAACAAATGGAACATTTGCTTGACGACCTGGCAATGGTTTTGGAAGTGGCAAATTTAGCTCATTATTGTTTAAAGCACGTTGAAAAGTACAGTCTCCAAAGACTCCACCATCCGACACACGACCATTACAGCCAACATCAACGTATAAAAAGTTGTATTCGGCATCAACAACTGCCATTAGCACTATACTATGTGTACCTTTATAGTTATAGAAGGTGCTTCCTGAATTAGGTGGTGCTATAATTTGCACATGTTTGCCGTCAACCGCCCCTATGCAGTTCGGGAAGTTCCATAGTTTGTTAAATTTGAAAGCAACGACATTCCATTCTTCCTGCGTGGATGGTATCTACATACATATCAAAAGAAATAATAAGTCAATTAAAAAGCATAAATATGTGTGTATTTAGATTTTTCATACCTTTATGTATGCACCTTTTAACGCTTTATAAATAGCATCACAAACAATTGGTACGAAAAGTGATATGGTATTTGGGGCAACACGGAAGAAGACCGAAAGACTTTTATAACTGTCACCAGATGCAAGAAATCGAAGTGTCACAGCTAAGCGTATTTGTTCGGGAATAGCCTTTCGCATGTTTGTGTCTTGTTTTTTAATATATGGTGACACTAGTTGCAACAATTCGATAAACGTTTCGTCATCCATCCGGATAAAATTTTTAAACAAAAACTTTTGGTTTTCGATTTCCCGGAATTCCATTAATGTTTTGTCATATGCACCATCAGTGCTTCTTTTTGTGAGCCACTCTCTGACCCACGTACTTCTATTTACTTTTTTTTCTTTTCTTTCCTTTCATTTTTCTCATCGTCAAATGCACACACCATAATTATAGCTGCTGCAATTTTCTTTTTTTTTAAAGAACACATCTTAATAAAACAAATTTTTAAATGCTTTAACATTTTTAATAAACAAACTTTGACACATAGCAGCTGCTTCTGATATTTGCCGTGTAGTAGAACAATCGTGTGACTGAAGTTGGACAATAATTGTCACTTGATGGTTTTGAGACAATATGCGGCAATCAAATTTATGAAAAGTTGGACAATCATGTGACCGCAGAGAATTTGATTGTGACAATTTATTTATTGTAGTAAAACTTTGGACAATAAAAATTGGTTTAAATTGGCGCATTGCGACAATCATGTGATCCCACCTTTAGTTTGTCACAAATAAAATTACCTAGTCATTAGCATTTGAGGATAATTAAATTAAATACCCAATTCTAATATTGTATATAAATTTTATTTGCTGCTTCTCCAAGACGCATTTTTAAAATGTGTAGGTGATTTTAAGAATTGTATATACATTAAAAAAACGTACTTCTTTATTTGACTTAACTTATGGCAGAGTTTCGAACGTCAAATACGAATGACTAATTATGCTATTGACTTACAGATGGCAGGGTTAAATAGTTATAATTTTATTTATTCCTACCAGATGTCTCAAATGGAAAAATAATGATCGTAATATGTAGCATTTTCACCGATAGATGGTGCAATGTTGTGCATCGATAGCACGTTACAAAGTACGATATTAAAGGTGTGAAGTAGGGATATTTGACACGAAGCCAAATCCTCTGCTATTTGTTATTTCGGGTTATCTTTATCTTAGCGAATCACTCCAACAAAAATTATCATTATTTGCCCACTGTTTGAGGTAGCCCCTATATAAAGTTATTTTTTTGGAGATGTGCCCATACCCCAATATAGTATGATTAGTAAACATTCTCTTTAGATCTTACAAACTACATGTATTCTATATTCTGTGTATCTGTTGTAATCGTATTAACTTCCGAGGAAACCGAGATTTAATGTTTTTTTTTTTTTTTTTTTTGGAAGATGCGCTTTAACTTTACACGACTAGACAACGCATCTACTGAACTATATACTTGATTTTTGGTATTTTTTATATTTTAGATACACCTTTCAGCCCAATTTGATACTTCGTTTAAAACGTTCAAGAGTTTTTTGTGCGTTGTAGGGTCGAAATTCTCATCAAATAGAAGGTCGTAAGAAAAATATAATTCTCCGCAAAATCCAAATTATAACACGTTATTCTTTACCTGCGTCTCTATCGGATGAAGTAGGAGAAATTCAATCAATGAAGATATTCCCCATTTCAGCTTGGTTTTTGGCAGAAAATAGGCGATTTTCCTAGGTCCGTCATTTTTCTCATTTTCGATCGATGTTAATAAAAATAATAGTTAATAATCCTAGTTCATACCGGAGCCAGATATGGACTTCTGATTGAGTTGAAATTTTGAGATTCCAGTGATTCTTTAATTACAAAAAACAAGAACATTTTGTCAAATAGTTTAAGCCTTTAAATACATGTACGCAAAGTAACAAGTCTCTGACATAATGTATGCTGAAATTGAGAGTGGAAGGTCCCCTTATGGTTCCGACCATATAAAAAATATCAAAATTCAAGTTATAAATATCTCAAATTCCCACAAAAATGCCAAAATTTAACCAAGCGACATTAATTTTAATATTTTAAAAATATCGCTAATAGTACGTTTACATTCTACTGGATTTCGTTAACCCAGTGGGTTTAAATTGTCAACTCCATTGCATGTGTCAAATAAATCCTCATGAAGTAGGTTAACCCAGTAAAAAAATTATATAGGAAGTGATGCAAATGTGGTATAGGTTGGTAATGTGGTATAGTCACTTTTTTTGTAAACTGAAAATTTTAGAATTACTGAAACATGTTCTATAGTTCGCTGTTCTCAAAAAATAAGATAGCAATGATCTGTTTAATTTATATAATTCACGTTGAGAATCAGTAGCAAAAATTAAAATTTTCATGAAATTGACATTTTTCGGTTGAAGTTTAAAAATAATTTTTTGATTTACGAATGTAATTTAATCCTTATTGCTGAAGCATTAAAATAATTAGTATGAACTAAAAATCAAATAATATGCGCGATTGCACCACATAATTTCCAATGTAGGAAAAAAACTAGACATTTATTCTGTAAACACAAGTGCAGGTAATGTGGTATACCTTGAGTCTGCATGAAAAAAATTAGCAGAAGATAAAATCTCATTACTATTTGAAACATTAGTACTCTACGAGAGTCTACCATAAATCACAAAGATGAAAAACAAAGGCTATGCGTTTTAACAACTTCACCATACAAAAATTAAATATTGCCATGTGTAGACATTATTATATAATAATAAAAATTAAAGTTCCACTCACGTATCCGTTAAAAATCTTAACAGACATAAATCTGAAGCTAATTCGCATCATTAAAAACAATAAATTATATAAGTTATCAATTGGAAGTGAAAATTATATTATACCAAATTAACATCATGTGGTATACCACATTACCTGCACTTTTTTAAAATCACTTTTAATGGAATTTCAAATATTTTCTGAAATATCTCTTAAATTGTTAGAATAATATTATTTTCAAATTGATACATGGAAAGGCAACACCTGAAGCATATTAAGTGTAAAATTTCAATTTAATTGGATAAAAAATAAAAATTTGGCAATCTAAAAACAAATGGGTATACCACATTTGCATCACCTCCTATAATGTACATGCCGTTTTATTTTCTAATACAGTATTTAAAAAATCAAAATCTGTTATAGCGCAGATTACGCAGAAAGTGCGTAATTTCTACTTGAATTCGATGTGCACTGGATTCTTCAAACAATTGATTCCAGCGGGATCAGAAGCAGGGACGTCTTCAGCCAAATCTTCAGCAATTGCAATAACCATTCTATCCAACTGAGCCGCTTGCGAAAGTTTTCCAGACGTATTTGGTTTCACATTATTCCTGAACAATTCATTCAAAATTGTATTACACATTGCTGTGTTACGTTAGTCGGTTTGAGGCCTTGGTATGAAAAAACAGATGTGAGCTGTGGCCTACCTTGTAATTATTGTACCATGATTATTCTAATTTAAAAATGCATATTCTTTATGCATTTTCTAAACGCGAGTTATCGTAAATGTAAGACTTTCAACTGAAAAAATTGGTTTTACAACTAGTTAAACCA